GTTCCCCAAAATAGGAATCAGGTGAAAGTTGGTTCCATTTTGGTGCAATTTTCCCTTTATACTCTAAGGCCAGGCACGACCTAGGTCGTGCACCAGGTCACGTGTGTCCTTTTCAAGATTTGCAAGCTTTTATACTCTGAGGCAAGCATCGCGACCAACTTACCTAGCTAAGATTGCAGTAAGGATTGCACGTATAATCTAGAGAGTTACGTTGGTTCCGTGAGAGGGAACATGTTGCATGAGGATGGCGTCAAATGAACGTACGCTTATGCGACTTGAGCCGACACCCAAGGCACATGAATGGTCGTGCATCTCTCTATCTTCCAAGATTCGAACAAGGAAACGAATAACTTCAATAAATCGCACAAATGAATTTATACGGTTTATTACATCAGAGTGTCATTGTGATCTTTGAAGTTTTATTCGTGAAACAAATTTGAATTTTTTTTTCCCCTAATAAAAATGTATTTCTTGTATCTAATGTTGTGAAATTGTTTGTGTATCCTAGACATTAATTAATTTAGATAGTTATTAGTCGTTTATCATTGAACCTATAGCTGCAAGTAGTGATGGCCAAAAACCGGTCTCGGGCCAGGACGGGTCGGGCCTAATCAGTCCCAAGCTTTCTCATCACCGGTCTTGGTCCCGGTTGAAAATGGTAGAACCGGTCAAGGTATTTCATAACCAGTTATGGGCCGCCGGTCCCGACATTAAAAAATAAGATTTTTTTAATGATATATATTTTTAATACATTATAAAATTTACAATTGGGTAACTCAAATACACTTTAAAAAATACGTTTTAATATAATTAAAATTACATTATTTTATAAAAATACATTATAAAATTATTTGAAAATACAATTATTTATAAAATTATTTGAATTTTCAGGCCGGGCCAATCCATAGCCGGTCCCGGTCAGTCCCGGTCCCACAAAACTACCAAAAAACCCAACCGGTCTCGGTTTTCGGTTCCATAACCAGTCCTTACCAGTCCCAGACCGATTTGGCCATCACTAGCTACAAGCACGGTTCGTGGACCACAAGTTATTGGATGTCTAAAATAAGTATTGAACAAGACAATTTGAAATATTGTCGTACATATCAAATTACAATATAATACTCCACAAACACGTCACATGAATACCAACGAGGCTATTTGATTATCTTAAGATGACACGGCATACAAATTTTAAAAGGACATATTCCAGTCCGACACTCCAACATCAGATGACCATCGATGTCAAGATTACAACCAAAGCATACATATCCGGGTGTTCTCGTTTTTCAAACAAACGTTAATGGGTGTTTGTGATACGAAACCGTTACAGTTTCCTCACACCAAACATTTGCAAAAAGATCAATTTGACTAAGGCACTTGATGTGAAATGAATTTTTACACTTGTGACAATGATAGAGCGGATACTTCGAGTGCATTTCACTCTCGCATATATCGCAATAAAAATTTTCAGGATGATCGTTGACCGGAGGTTCTATCGATTGGATTTGATGTCCTTTGCAATACCGATGAGTAAAGGAATGCGGCAACTTCACCACACACCACATGTCTAGATGAAAGTCACAGTAGTGGCAAGAATAACCCATATTTTCAAAAAAGTTTCGACACGCGTTACAAAATAAATTCTGACCAATAACTTGGTCGAGAGCATGTTCGTGCCAAGTATGTTTTATGGTCTTGGGTAAAAACGCACAATTCACGTCAAGGAGGAATTTGCAAGTTCCACATTTGTAGGCAAACGCGTTGCAATAGCTATAACAACCATCGCATAGCTCAGGCTTGGAATATCGTATGCTTACCAAGTCAAGGGAATGATTTGGATGAAGGTGATGGTCTAATGTGAGTGATAACTCGGTGCAATACTTGTGGAGAGAAAATCGACATCCCTCTTTGCAAGTATAATATGGAAGGGAGAGGGGTCGTACACATCCCGAGCATACCTCTATTGGATCATTACGCTCGATGTCAGACATCATGTTACTTTGTGGTTTAGGAGAAATGATTAATGGATGGTTATGACTCGAATGGTTGATTTCTTCTGCGCCTTTGTCATTTGATGTTATCTTTTCAGAATGTAGTAGCTTTAACGAATCTGTGAACGCCTTTGACATAGGGAAATGCAATGTATTCTTCGTTTGCCACATGACATATCGACCATATCTGAAACCACATACTCAATTTAGGAAGGGAATACCCAAAACAAGATGGGAAAATTGCACCAAAATGGTACCAACTTTCAACTGATTCCTATTTTGGGAAACCAATTTTCAAAATTGTCATATAAAGGTCTCTATCAAACTTTTTGTTTATTTAAGAATCTGGTTGACCTGTTAATGGTGACATCATCCAGATCTTTTGCCAACTAAGATATTCCACGTCATATTAATTTTTTATTTTTAAAACTAATATTTCACGTCATATTTAAAATTGCAAAATAAATATAGAAATATAACTAAAATTCGTTTTTTTTTTCAAAAATAATTGTAATAAAATTTATTTTTCATTCCAAATCTCGTTTTTTTTAATTCAAATATCAAATTGAAGATTTTTTCAAAAATGTACTTCTTTACTCACAATTTGATATCTGAATATTTTTTTGAAAACGATATTTGGAATGAAAAATTAGATTTTATTACAATAATTTTTGGAGGGAAAAAAACGAATTTTAATTATTTTTCTATAATTATTTTACAATTTTAAATATGACGGAAATATTAGTTTTAAAATAAAAAACTAATATGACGTGAAATATCTTAGTTGGCAAAAAATCTGGATGATGTCAACATTAACAAGTCAACATGTCAACTAGACCCTTAAATAAACAAAAAGTTTGATAGAGACTCCAAAATGACAATTTTGAAAGTTGGTTCCCCAAAATAGAAATCAAGTGAAAGTTGGTTTCATTTTGATGCAATTTTCCCAAACAAGAACTAAAAAAGAAAACAAGAAAAGGATTGACCTTTGGGGAATATGCAGTTGATCCAGACGAGAGATGCACTTGATGTGGATGAAATATCTACAATTTGGGCAATGATATATCCAGTCGCATTGCATAATCCTTTTCTGGCAAGACTCGCAGTGGAATGCAAATTTGCAGAATTGTTCTGGGAGCAAGTAGGCAAGAACGAGAGGGTGGTTATGGTGAATTGGCTGATCGATGGTAGTGGTTAACGAAGCACATGTCTTATGGATCCAAAAGTCGCAGTTATCACACTGAGAAAAAAATCTTCTTTCGTATATCTACAAGCATTACAATGAAATGAAGCAGGTCGTAACTGTAGAGTCAAAGTATGTCGTGGGTGACCATCGTGTGTAAACTTGTTTGATGCCTCCTTTTTTAGTCTAGTGGTAGCAAAACTGCTAGCAGCATCAGCTAAAGCACATTGTATGCAGACAGCGAAGTCACAGGTTGAACAGTAATAGCTGAACCTCACCTTTAGTTTTGATTCACATACATCACAAGACCAATGCTTACTATTGAAATGAACAAGGATCAAAGGATGCAATGCATGGAGATGGTGGCGGAAAGGAACCTCTACCCGTACACATGTTTTGTGCAAGTAATAATGACATGGGATACAACCGTATACATAGCCATCTGATATGCGTTTTGAACACCAATCACAACAGACTTGTTTCCCGTCATCGCCAACAACAACTGTCTCCTTATTTTCAATGAGCTCCAACGGATGATTAAGGTGCCTAAACGAATTCATATTCTCTATCTCTCCCCCTCTCTCTTTGAATTTGAAACTTCGAAGCGATGGAAATGTATATATTCCTCCCAAGTTTATAAAGAAGTCATCCTCAAAAGTTAACTTACAAAACCAAGAAAAGAATAACTTTTAACTTTAGTGCATATTACAAATTTCAGCCTTTGAAGTATTCACAATGTTTAGTTCCTTTAAGAATCTTTTTAACTTTGGTATTTTTGTCAATTTCTTTTCATAAAAAAAAAAATCATTAATGCAAATGACAATGCCAAAGGGTAATAATGTCATTCTCACAATCTTATAGCTTCATCATTGAGGTAGGAACTACCATCTTGCAAAAACAGCAAGTAAAACGACATCCTACAAGCATTCCATCAAATTCAGTTCTATAAAAGATCTGAAAAGAAGTTGTTTCCAATCACAGAGTTACTTTATCACTAATATGAGAATGCAAACTTTTGCTTTAATCATTCCAAAAACAACAAATACTAAGATTAGCTCAATGATGATCAACGAAAACAAACATTCTCTTGTCTAAAGTCACGAATTGGGAATGCAAAATGAGTATAAGAAACGACAATATTTCTTCAATGACTTAGATTTTACCTTCATCACTCAGTTTTCGCCTCTCCAGAGCAGCAACCGCCACCATGGTGGTGGTGGTGGTGCTGGTGTTGATGCTGATGCTGATGCTGATGTTGATGTTTTCCCTTTAATTGTTTCCTCATATCATATGCATCCTCTCCATCCGCATAATACTTGGCCTCCATGTCGTGGATCTTGTACCCCAGTGTCTCGGTGTACAAATTGAATGCTGCCCTGTTACTCTTCCTCACGTGCAGTGACACATACTCCGCACCAAACACCTAATTTTATTAGCAAAAAGAATTTTCAATTTACACACAGACCAAAAAAACAAGACATAACTCATGAAAATAGAATGAATCAACATCCATGATAAGAAGCCAAGGTATGTTCCTTAACAAAATCCACACAGTGAAACAGTTACTAATGATAACAGAAACCAGAACATCAGAAGAGTGCATCAAGGCTCCTCAGCTTTCTGCAGCATCTCTCTGCATTTTGCAAGAAGGTTGCTTCTGCAACTCCGACCATTGACCTTCCAGTCACAAAGAAGCAACCTTACCAATTGTTTCGAATCCCAGACTTAAGAAATGGGATAATATCATTTGACAAATATAGGATTTCATCAATACCCTTTTGTAAAAAAAAAAGCTAATGTTAAAACCCCAATATCATTAACCCCCAAATATAATTCCGCAATATATGAATGAATTTCAATAAGTTATGAATACTGTCACAATTACAAAAGCTTTGAACATAGTTCAACAAATGTGGAATGGAATAACAAAACACATTCTCACAATTGCAAAAGATTTGAACGTGGTTCGACAAGTGTGGATTGAATAACAGAACAAATTTTCCCTATTAAGAAAAACTTTGAACATAGTTCAACAAATGTAGAATGGAATATCAACTACTAAAAAACTAAAGGAAATTGGACTAAACCAAAAAAGAGTCAAGGTTACATAAACCATGACATGATTCAGTAAAACCAAGAACAAATGAACTTAATTTACTCACAACTACCATTATCCACAATACAATCAACGTTGATCGAACCAACAACCCATCTGCAAAACTCTCCTATTTTACCCAAATTCACAAAAAGGCTGCATCTAAAGATGAGACATAAGGTTATACTTAACCCCAACTTTACACATAATAAGAACAGTACAGTACAATGAATTACCATCGATTCAACACCAATTTACAAGATGCAGCTTTTGCATTTTGCTCCGAGTTAAACACCCCTAAAACTCAAATAAAAGCCCCCAAAAATTCTTACTCATAAACATAAAGCTCTCAAGGAAGAAGGAATAAATAAGAAAGAAAACTTGCGATGTTATCACAATCAAGTACGATCAAATTCAATATTTTAGACACAAAAGCCTAGTATGTTAACTTAAAAGTATAGGAAAGATCATACAAAAATAGGATTTTCCCAAGACCTAATTTTTTTTCTCTCGCAAACACATAAGAGAACACGATACATCAAATATTATCGAATCGGAACCTAACCTCCACATCACAACAATATTCAATCAAAACTCATACGACAATTCGAAAAATAAATGAAATTGAGAGATGGACCTGTTCCATGGCGTTCTGTGCAGCAGCCATGAGCTTGGTTGCAAGCCCTAACTTACGGTGCGTACGGAGAACAGCAAGAGATGTGATGTGGCCGTGACACTCAGTGCTCTCTTCTTCCATCTTGGCGAGCACATATCCAACGATCTTGCCGCCATAATCTTCGGCGACGTAAAGGAGCTGCGGCCAAGAAAGAATATGATAGAAGTAGTATTTCATTTGGTAATTCTCCGGGAGGCAGAAGAGATTGCAGGCTTGCATTGCAAGCAGATCGTCAATCGTTGCCTTTCGTATGCACACCATTTTCAATTTCGATTCTCAAGCTTCTTCAGGGAAAAAGGGGGCTAGGGTTTGCCTGATTTTGGAGAAAAAACTGGTGTCTATGGCTCGCTTCATCTCAGTCTCCGATCCATTTAAGGAAGGAAAAAAAACAAAATGAAGTAATAATAATTGTATTTTTATATTTTCTTTAAATAAATAAAACCCAAAAAATATATAAATTACATAAAAATATAATTGATATGATTATAAATATGAGCCGAATTATCAATTGAAAGATGGAAATAAAATGATAATAGCACTTTTTATCGGTTAAAAATCAGTTATAACAAGAGTTTTATTATCAAATACTTACTGGTAAAATTTAACACTATCACTTACTTACCGGGTAAGACTTTAGTCTATCAAAACGTCATCGTATGCAACAATTTATAAAGTAAGTGTTTACCATGGTATGAGTCGTCGTCCTCACTTACCGGGTAAGACTCTTGGTCCTTGTCTCCCTCTTACCGGGTAAGATTCTTGGTCTATACCATATTTATCTGGTAAGGTAATGTGACTTGGTAATCACTTATCCGGGTAAGCGTTTGGTAAACAGCCCCTTAATTAAGAGACTTAATCGGTTGGTTATAAGATTCGTTCACATCAAGTACACATTTTTTACTCTGAACCTAGATTGGTTACGCAGTCAGCCTGTAACGAGTTACATGGTAGCATTTTTCTAATCAGATTGGTTGTAATTTAAAAGACCAAATCATAATTGATTTTACCTGTCTTTAATTTGATATCCGTCATCTTATAAACCTATTTCGATCAAACAACAAATACTATTCTAAATTGCCCAATATGTGGCATGAACACGATTCTTTGGCACTATGGCAATCGCTCGTATAATTTGGGGCACTAACGATTCAAAGCTTTAACGAGCTACTCGAGCTTAAGCTTAAGTTGATTTCGGACACGAAATAAAGTTTGTTTAACTTAATAAAAGTCAAACTCATTACCACCGACATTTGATTCAGTTCGTTTGTAAGCTCAATTATAATTTTCAAATGGAGTCAAGTTGAGCCGACCCATTCAAGTATACATTTTTTTCATGTCAAACATGTTTGTATGTTTATAAATAATACAATCAAAATATAAAAAAAAATACCAAACTCAGACCAATATACGAGTTAATTGATTTCGAATTTGAGCCCATGAACGAACTTATAAAGCTTTAATTTTTAGGTATCAAAGTATAAGGGGTGGTTCGGTTCGTTTTCTGTTAAAACCTGTATGGATATAGTTGTCTGTATATTAACAGATAAATTGTTGTTCGGTTGTTGTGCTAAATAAACAGTCTGAATATCAAAAATGACCATTTTACCCTTCAGACCTAATGTTAAAAAGGAAGGTTTTCCGGATCTATAATGGTTTTCCAATCCAAATCCAAGTACCAAATCCAATCCAACCTCTTTATTTTGTTTCCAATTCAAGTATCCAAATCCAATCCAATCCAATCTCCTTGGTCCTCAGTCCTAACCTCACGACTCACCGTCTCACGTTTTCTAAATCTAATCGGTCGCTGGTTCAGACAGCAACTCAGCAAGCGTGAAGAAGAAACCCTAATCGGTCGCTCACTCAGTCGCTCTCATCTACTCATCGTCTTCTCCGTTTATTTTGATGTTTTACCTTCACACAGAAAAAAAAAAAAAAAAAACACAGGCGACAGTCGGAGCAGAAGAAAAACACTGATGAGGAGCAGGAAAAAAAAAACACAGTCGCTCCCATCGCCTCCATCGGGCTGCTGATGGACGATGATGTTGTAGGTCGGAGCAAATGAGGAGAAGGAGGCGACAGTCGGTGAGTGGCGAGGCAGAGGACGATGATGGAGACTTCTGGAGTTTGGAGGATATCGATTTGTTTGAAAGGTTTCACCCATTGGATCTGTGTGTTTTTTTTCCTGTTTAAGGATGGAGGCGATTGTATTGAGGGAGGAGTGGCTATGGAGAGGGGTTGGGAGAGGGGTAGTTGAAGAAAGTTACCAACTGAATACAAAGGACATTGGTTTTGTAGTTGAGTGATTCAGCCATGGACTAACCGAATAAGCCCATACCAAACAACTAGATATGGTTGTACGAATAAGCCATATAGCTTATACAATCCATTAAACAGTAACMGAACAGCCTCTAACCCAAATTCGTTACACGACCATCAACTCGAACACAAATCGGAAATATATTTGAGCTTAAATACTACTTTAAAAAGTTATTCAAGCTCAAGTTGAGCTCATACATTTTTATAGAGCCGGGTTCGAACAACCTGTTGCTCGACCTGTTAACACGATAGGTATAATCATGAAACTTTTTTTTTTTTGTAAAGAATCAAACGGATTCTTCTCAAAATTTTGAAGTCAAAATTGGTCATATTGACCTAAAAGTCAAACAATCACTGTTTCATTTCACAATCATTGATCATTTTTTTCTCTTGCCAAAAGCAAGGCTGCTAACGTGACCAAAAGACAAACAAAGAAAGTAGCAGTTTAACATTAAGAGTAAAGAATCAACCGAATACACCGAGATCTTCGTTAACGTTTCTACAAGAGAAGCAAACTCAAATCTCGTTTTTTTTTCTCTTATTCTTCAAGAATTCTGGCAGCGAAATGCTTGGCATCAAAAGTTTCGTCCCTTTCTAGAAACTCGAACACAAACTACCGATCCAATAGAAAACAACCCAAACCCCGGAGGATGATTAGAACGATAAAGATCAAGGTTTTAGCTTTCCGCCGTCTCAAATTCCACGCACGGGTCCACAAGCGAAACGGGTCCTCATAAGTGTGAGCTCTCAGCTGTCAATGGGCCGGATTTGCAAATGTCGCCACGACACAATGGGCAAATCCTGTTTTATTAAGTGAATTCAAACTTACTTGATGCAAATAAGGGTAAAGTTGAGATAATCGGATCATTTCCGTGGTCTAACTAGCACCCAAAATGCATGTTTGGTAGCATTGCGGGGGACATTTAAAGTGCATGTCTTCAAGCATAAGTTGAGCGGCTGCTCATAAATCTGTGTAGCGGCTACCAACAATTTCCACTCTTTTGAAACATGAGCTTAATTGGAACGAACATAAATAATGCATCTCATAGAATTTCTGTTTACAAGCCAGGGTCTTCACGGAAATAGGTTTTACTCTATCAAGGTAAAGGTCTGGTCTGTATACATCTCACCCCCCAGATCCCACCTCCGAGTGGGATATACTGTTTGGTTTGGTTTGGTTTAAAACTTCTTTGGGAAGGAATAGGGCAAAAAGAAACCAAGTGAACCCAATCGAAAGGGTCTACGACGGATAGGATGCATGCAAACCTTACCTCAACCATTAGGACCAAGAGACTGTTTCCAGGAAGAAACCCCCGGCGGCGCGCTGGGAGGGGGCACTTGTGCATGAAGCATAAGTGTGTGTAAGCAGGCAATAAGATAGGTGATACATAACATGTAATCGGTAATATAACAGGTAGAATAATGATTCAATAGTGTGTGCACAATTCAAGGGTGTACAAGCCGACAACGCAATTTAAATAACAACTTAAACATGTAGGTAAGATCAGCGAAAAAGTCAAACAAGAAAGTCAGATCCCCAGCAAAATAAAAACAGTGATGAAGTAAAATATGGGGGGGAAATGCACCTGTGAATTTCCTTGAGCCATTTGTCGATGCATAATCTATGGAACTCATGATGGCAAGGAAGGACTCGTACTTCATCCCCATCCTCGTATTCCACAAGGCAAATATAACATCTGTTGATAGATAAACAGAAACCAAAGTTCAAGTTAATGCACAATGATAGCAGTAAGCACGCTTTATAGCATCTAAAAACCTTATGAGCATTAATGTATGCATGATTTTGATGAACACCGTTGTGCATTATGACACCAAATCGACAAAGAACACACAAAAAAACTAATGATTTATTAGTCAGCTAGCTATTGAGAGGCTGGTTCTCTCCCAATTCTACCTTTTTACAGGTTAGACAAACTAGATATCAGATATCCCCTTTATCGACTTTCTTCCTAACTACTACCTATCCAACTATCTCGCTATCTATGTTTACCAAAATATCCCTGTTGTAACGATTTCCATCAAGTTTTCCAAAAGCACTTTCTGTGACTTCAGACCCTGTTATAGGGGTATAAAACAGTAAATTCCATATGATATTTGATTCTTAGAATGACAACATTGTTAATTTTGTAAAGAAGAGAAAGTACATTTCAGTAAGCTAAAGTAAACTATTAGCAATTCAAAACTAACATGGATCCTCTACTTGGCATATTGTCATAAAGCTTGATGTAATAATCTAACTTCCAAAGGAAAAAGAAGTTCATATTAATATTTGGTCAAAAATTGGTGTAATCAAATTTTAAACTTTCAAACTCTTTGTATTTACCTCTTTATTGTGTACCCTATTATTTGTAGGAAGGGTGATCCCTTTTATTTACAAAAAAATCACATTTTGAGTAACGGATAGTTGAGGGCAGGGAGAATGCGGTGGTTCAGCCACGTTTGTAGGAGACAAGTGGCGGCTCCGTTGAGGAGAACTGAAAGTGTGATGATCGGAGGCAATGAGGGGTAGTTGAAGAGGATGTTGAATGAACAGCTGAGTTTAAACACAGCGGCTTAAGGCATTTCCGAGGCCACGACCTTTAATAGGAGCTCGTGGAAACGCAAGACTAGCGGTGCTAGAGTAGAAGGGAGGTAGACAGTGGGAGATAGGGTTAGTAAGCTAGACTAGGGGTTTGTAGTTTCCTTAAGTTGGTTATGCTTTTCTTGTATTTGCTTCTATTTGTATGTTATTGTTTTTTCTTAACCGGCTTTTTAAATCTTTATCATATCCGACATTCTCTCTTTGTCACACTTTTCACAAGGCAGGGGTCTTCATGGAAATAACAGTTCTACTCTTCTGGGATAGAGGTTAGGTTTACGTACATCTTATCCTCCCCAGACCCACCCCCACCTCCAGGTGGGACATAACGGGGTCGTTTTGTTTGTTCTGGTTTTGGTAGTTGGCAATACCGTGAATTGTCAAATGAAACCAACTATAAAGTCAAAGCAGAATAATTTTTCAAACCTTAGAATCTTAGCTTTCTCCTCTAGAAATGAACCACTTAGTGTTTTTTCCTATCAAACTGTGCTCCTTAGCCTGCTGCCAAACCAAGATGTCCAACACGATGAGTACACTCCCTAATCTACGACTCCCTCCATCCCGAAAGTATAGTCCCCTTAAGAAGGTGTATTGATCTTATTATAAATTTAACGATTCTATTTGTTAGTTATAATATGAATGTAGTTTTCAACTACTTCAGAAATTTCATCTCAATCTTGAAGCTGAAAATTTACCCTTTTTAACCTCAAATGTAACGATCAACCTCTTTGTTAGATCATATGTAGCAAATAAAGAAGAAAAATATATACATACTGTGCATCTTCTTCGGTTAAATGCATTGGCAACTTGTGGTACATTTTAACTGGAAGTGCTTCCACAGCTTCAACAGGAGCAGGAACTGATCCGATGGAAGACAGTGCAGGTCGGGATGAAGAAACTACAGATTGCTGGTGAATTTCATCCAAAACCTAAATAAAATAAGTCCACGAGGTTCAACACATAAAAATAGTCGAAGATATGAAATATAAAAATATCATCCTTTTACCCTTAAAGGTAGCTCAACCGGTAAGATCGTGGGTTTGCTCCCCAATGGTCACCAGTTCGAGTCCCCTAAGGGCCACTGGAGTTTTGTTTGACTATTAACCACTGGGTCCCATGGGATTTAGTCGAGGTGCGCACAAGTTAGCCCATATACCCACAGTTATCCCAAAAATGTTATCATCTTTGAGAAAAAAAAAATCACCTCAAAGAGAGCTTCGGCCAACAAAACAATTCTTGATATGCTTCCCCTACCATTGGCCCCATCATTTGGATCTTGATTATTGAGATGGCATGAGCAGTGTCCTGTAAAATGTTGACCAGACATTATGCAAGACCTTTCATGACCAGAAAGATTCTCAAAACGACCTCCCATCCTCTGTAATGCATGTACCTATGGCAGGCAAAGTTCATCAAAATACGATATACACATATAGAGCAAAATGCATCAAAATGCATCAAAATTCAACAAAGTTTGGTTTTAGTTCATCTTTAGTATAACGAAGAATTTTGTTTTCTAAATCCATGTAACAAAGTTTCAAAATTTCCTATTTGGTACCCATTTTTGACCGGTAACCTGCTGCTCCTGTATCGTTTGATAATGTGAATGTCCGTTTACAAAAGGATTAATCGAAGTGCACGAACTTGACATCCACATCATTAGATGTTACAATATCAACATGTTACTAGTCAAAATGGGTAAAAGAATAGGAAAGTTTGGAACTCTATTATATTGATTGAGAAAAAAAAAAACCTTCATTACGGTAAATAGGAACCAAGGCAAACTTCATTGCATTTTGATGCATTTTGCCCAAACATATATAAAATAGAATCCAAGAATTGGTTCGTTGCAAAGGTAAATTGGGTATAAACCTGCGATCTTATTCTTCTTCTTCGTTCAAGAAAATTTGACCTATGTTCCAGGAGGCTATTATATCTGATTTCTCTAGGACCCATATTTCGAACTTCGGAATCTTGATTCCCATACAAGGAGTTGGAGATGGTGGACGAAGAGTAAGTAGAAGTTGTGGATACCATCGCATTCTCATTAGACAAATGTGATCCTGTTTCACGAGCTTCACTACCAGTTACCACTTCCATTTCTGGTTGGAAATTCAAATATGCTAATTCAGGAAATGTTGGTCTATGAAGAACTCTATCACGAAGTCTTCCAACACTTAAAGTTCTGCTAAATCTGACATTTTGTTCAACAGGCTCTCGGGCACCATTTCGCCTATCAACATTTCTAGTCTCTATGCCACCATAACCAGAAGCATTTCTTGGAGAAAATAGGTTCCCATTAGATTCCACTCCGTTGTTATTATTATTGCCCAATTCATGGATAGAACTTACATCACTATTATCAGAATCTGAATCAGAATCATGACCCCGTGGTCCAGGAGACATTGGCAAGAAACACGATGGAAATAGCTCACAACCTTGACGGGTTTTAGTTCTATTGCCAAAACGATTGGAGTGAAGATCGTCATCATTTGATATGATAGAACTTGAAGAAGATTCAGGATACGCCCTTGAGGAACGTGAGCTTATACTACCAGGAAACAAACTAAAGCGAGAAAGGAAGCGGTTTGAACGGTTGCGGGAAGAACTGCTGCCGTTTCTGGATGCTATACCACTCAGGCTCGATTCACCCCATTCACCAAGCTGTGTTTCAGAAGCCCTTTTATCAGTTCGTTTCATTTTGACATCTTTGTTTCGCTCTGTTTTACCTTTTGACTTTGATGTACTCATGTTTGAACGATTGCCCTCAATACCACTTTCTTTGGCTCGATGATCAGATACCTGAAGAATTCAAAATACATCATATCTTAATAACCTAGGAGAAGGTTCAAATCAGAATCATAAATATTTTGAAAACTGTAAGAGCCAGAATATGCATTGATACATCATGCATATACACTATACGAATTCCAGCGCATATACACCAATGTGTATATATACCTGCATACATTGATGAATATATCTACTAACCGACAGATACATACTTGGACTCTGCTTCAGCCAAAAAATGGAAAACTGAGGAAAACCTTAAGAACTATTCATTTGTCCGGTATGCACATATGCATAAAAGTAATTGAAAATGTTTCGTGATTTCTATGCAAGTGTGCATACCGGCCAAATTACTTTTATACACATGTGCATACCAGACAAATGAATAATTGTTGGGGTATTCCTCGGTTTTCCATTTTTTGTGGTTTTCCCCTAAACCCAACATTACATACTTGATAGTGTATATGCATAATGCATCAATGCATATACTGGTTTTCACGATTCTCACGATTCTCAAATCGTTTAAACTTTCCCCTAATACCCTAAAGAGTATGTCTTTCTCAATAAGAGATCATTCACTCTACTACCTATTCATCAATATAATGATTGAGTAAAACCATTCTGTCATCAATTAGCTATCAACCCACAAAAAGAACAGTTCACTCTATACTTATGAGCAATGATATTTCAAAGAAATGATGATGAAAATATGTTGGTAATCAAAGAGACATTGATATGCAGTCCCTCTAACAAAGATCACAATCGTTAATCAACATTAAATTAATCAAAACAACAATGTAGGATTCATAAACAACAAACTTCAAATTGAAATCTAAGCTACTAAAATTCATAAATGCATATTTATGGGTTATAATTAGGGGAAGATATACAAGAGAGCAAAAGAGGAAAATAACCTGTTCGTCATCAATGACCTCCTCATCATCAATTTCACTGCCATCCGAAGATCCAGATGCCGGTCGAATACACGAAGATTGGAACACATTTCTTGAATAACTCCGCCGCTCGACCGGCGTCACCGCCGCTTCAGGATCAATAGCTTTGCTGGTACTCGATCCCATTTCTTTCACCCACTAATCCACAATCGTTGAAGATTTCATATCTTTCAGATGCCTAGAGAATAAATTTCGAAGAAAAGGTTTCAGATCCAGATTTTATAAATGATTAACGGCACTTCCATTTGTCGTAAACTCGATAAAACGTGGGCTGACAGATAATGTGTCCGTCCACATTATCATATGCAAATCGGAAATACTGAGCATTGCAAGAGAGAGATTGAGATAAAGATAGCTCCGCCGTGCTATGGCAGAATCTGGGGATTCAAACCCAAACAACTGATCGTACCATCAGTTGTATCGCTCATTTACTATTCTTCTTTTTTCTCCTCTAACCTTGGAAAACCAATTTCTTGATTAACTTTTTTTCTATAGATTTTCTGCAAGATTTGATGATTGTGGTTCAACCCATTTAATCTCGTTACAAGAAAGTAGTTAATAAATGGGTTTCTCATTCGTGGAAGAGGTGTTTAGAATCGTTTATAAAAACACTTATTTGACTTATTTTGGTGAGGCATCGGTAAAAAGCATTTTTGAGTATTTGGATAAATAACTTGTTTTGTAGAAAGGACAAATTGTATGAAAAAGTAACGTACTTTAACCTAATTTTTATTTTGGGTAACGTACTTTTAAAACTTCTATTTTAATACCTAAGATATAAAGTTAAATATACGTTACTTTTTCATATAATTTGTTCTTGTAAAAAAACATAAGTTGTTTCAAATAAGCAATCCTAAACACCCATAATCATTAAAAAAAATATAAGTTTGTTAGTATCAGTTGATAGTTGTTTGTTAAGTTATTACACAAATATAAACGAACATAGAATAAGTAATTTCACTTATGATATTTCTATCAACCTATCAACATCTAAACCACCATATAGCAGTCAAAGAATTAAGCTGCAACCCAGAGTACAGGCAGTCAATGGGCGGCGACGGTAAGGAATAGCAGGAAGGGGGCGCTAGGGGCGGAAAGTGTGGTACGGCTAGGCATGGGAATGGCCCCAACCCGCTGGAGAACCCGGTCTATCCGCCCCGGTCGAGGACCCTGCTAAATCGGAGAAGGGGACGGGAATCCCCGTTTGTCTTAAACCGGGGATGGGGACGAGGATGGGGAACCGGAGTACGTACCTGTATCTATTTATTACTAAATTATATATAGAGAGAGGACGTTTCGAATGCAACTCACACATTTGTACATCCAATGTAACTCAATCAATCGATATATTTATGGAAATGATGATTGGTAATTTATTATGATTTAAATATTTATGGAAGATGACTAGAGTTCATTTATTATGATTTGAACATTTATGGAAGATGACTAGAGTTCATTAATTATGATCAATACTTTATATTAGAAATTATGAAATAATCAAAAAATTTATGAAATCACATATTCATCAAATTAAATGTATGGTTGAGATTGAGTTGTATTGGTTATACAAATATAAAAATGTTGCATAATAACTCACCTCTATATATATATTATTTATTTCAACTAAAGCAGTAATTCATAATTTCTTATTTCCTAACTAGATTTATAATCTAAAATTGTTATTTTTTGGATGTTAATATATAATATTTTGAATGTCAAGTCAAAATACAATTACTCGATAAGTTTTGTATATTACTCGATATGGTTTTATATTACTTAATATCTTTTGTTATATGTGATTTTAAGTTTTTTGGATTAAATTGAATTTTTTTTCGATTTTAGGTTATTAATTCTTATATGATGTTGTGGTGTTTTTGTATTAAATCAAATTCATTTTGGTTTTAAGTTTATTGAAAATTTTGAGATTTAAACATGTATGGTCTCTCACATATTTAATTTTAAATGATTTACATAAACGGAAAAAAAAAATCTCCGAAAACCGTTGGGTTTATTGAAAAAAAATTCTCAATAGAATTTTGCTATTGTATATTTGTCATTGTTGTAAGTTTGTAGCATAATTATATTTCATCTATTTCTACCATTTTATCTACTTAAAACCCAGAGTTCCATGGCTACAATAAACTAGGGGCCGTTTACCAGACACTTATCCGGATAAGTGTTTATCAAGTCATGTTACGTCATCGGAGGAATATGGTAAGGACCAAAAATTTTACCCGGTAAAAGCGAGACAAGGATTATGAATCTTACCTGGTAAGTGAGGGTAACGACTCTTACCATGGTAAGCGTTTAACGGGTAAATTGTTGCATAGGATGTTGTTTCGGTAATCTTATCGTTACGTAAATAATAGTGTTAAATTTTACCGGTAAACACTTACCGGGTAAGTGTTTGGTAAACGACTCCTTAGTTTATTGTAACCATGGAACTCTGGATTTTAAGTAGATAAAATGGTAGAAATAGATGAAGTATAATTATGCTACAAACTTACAACAATGACAAATATACAACAGCAAAATTCTATTGAGAATTTTTTTTCAATAAACCCAACGGTTTTCGGAGATTTTTTTTTTTCCGTTTATGTAAGTCATTTAAAATTAAATGTGTGAAAGATCATATATGTTTAAATCTCAAAATTTTCAATAAATCTAAAATCAAAATGAATTTAATTTAATACAAAAACACCACAACATCATATAAGAATTAATAACCTAAAATAGAAAAATAGTGGATGTTTTTGTAAACCAGTTAAAAAAATTATTAACACTTTGACCTAACTTTCGATATTTAGGGTTGTTTAGAATTACTTATTTGAAACAACTTATGTTTTTCTATAAAAGTTCTTATCAACTTATTATAAGTTAGAATGATTTCACTTCTTCAAAAACTCCTTATTACCTGTTTGACACCGGTATAAATTGTTCATCCAAACACTAAAAAATAATTATTACCCGTTTATATGTCAATTTTTAATTTCATAACTTCTGATCAGCTGCCAAAAATACATCGACTTAAAAACTCCATTTTTTATAATTTTAAAGATATTAAATAATTGCCTTTGGATCACATAAAATCAAATAAGAACCACATTTATTGATTACAATCATCCAAATTACAAAGGAACACACCAACAACACAACACATTGGTGATCTTCCCTTATTTCATTTCAAATTTTGTATAACTATAACTGAAATCAGATTCCTTTCACCATTTTTGGATCTTGAAAACCTTCCGATATACGCAGCCGTGCAAAAACCCGCATCAACAAATGTGTGTGGAAACATATCTTATCTCGTTCGCATAACTTTACGTTCGTCGTGGACATTCTTGAGAATCCACAACCTCATGATGTCAACGTCTAGTCGAAAACACGATTGTGGCATGTTTTGTCACACGGGTATGGACAGTCGATCTTTTGAAATGCATTCCGCTCATAGTACCAGTCTCCGACTGCTTTCGCAATTGTCTGATGAAATTTTAACAAAACGTTAGTTCTAAGGATAGTAACTTGTAACAAAAAAAATCGAGCAACTTCTATTTATAGAAAGTTTATTCTTGACCATGATAACTAGTCCTTTAGAGTTTGTAATAAATGTGGGTGTCTAAGCCAGCTTGAACGCACCTAGACTAATCCCATGGCTCTAGTGGCCCTTAAGGGAATCGAACTAGTGACCACTAAAAAACATAAACAATGTCTTACCAGTTGTACTACCCCAAAGGGTTCCATTCTTTAGTAAATAGGTTTTAAACTCTCTAAATATTTTGCATCATTGTATGTTGTTTAGAGATATAACAAAGCGAATCGAAAAACCGCAAATACAGGCAGAAGAGAAAATCACGTTACCGTGTTACCCAACAATGGCGAGTCGTTTCTCAACCATGTTTCTTGAATTCCAGTTTGGCAGTGGGAATAGCAAGAGTTGATGAACATTCCTCTAGAAAGGGAGTTGCCAAATCCATTCAGTGCCTTCAAGAACTCCAACCTGTACCCTGTCATATTTAACCAAAACATGGGTTAGGAAATTCGACCTATTTGTTGTACATTAATCTTAGCTTCTCCCAATATTGGTAGTTGTCAGTATAGCGCTCTGTTTTACAAGCCAGTGTCTAAAGGATAACGTCTCTCTACCCCTTGGGTAGAGGCAAGGTGTATGTTTAGAGTGGTGATATTATACTGGGTTCGTTTGGTTTGGTTTGGTGGCCACCAAACCAAAATAATAGCAAAAGATATCAAAGGCGATAATAGCAAACCTTGCAGGATATTGAGTTGAGCAGATGAACACTTTGTTATGTCAAGTTTGCACTCGCGCCATGTACCTTTGCGATCTGCAACTCCTGGAGCCAGTATATTCTTTACCTGTAGAGATATATAAATCACATTTACATCAAAGAAATACAGAAAATATCCTACTTCTTCATATGGTAGTCGAGAACAAAAGGGTGTGTTCGATACGCAGACAAGACTGGACAGAACTGGACTGACGAAAGTGAGGTAGACATATGAATGAATTTTGTGAGATTTTAGGGTTTTAATTTGACACAGGTACCAAGACTGGACATCTCTTTGATCTTATTCCAACAATTTTCAAGGACAAAAAATGCACTTTTGGCCACTCGGTCTTATCTCGTCCCAGTCTAAATATGGCATCAAACGTGGCACAAAAAGTTTTTGTCATGTCCTGTCATATCCCGTCTTATAACACCTACATCCACGGATCTCTTTACAGATTTGGAGATCCTGAACTAGAGGTTGTCTAACCTGCCATGAATCATAAGCCGCATTTATCAAGAAAATTGGTGTTTTGATGTATTGCACCATGTTTTGTGGGAAAAAGCACTGCAAAAACCACAAGAAAGGTTAACATTTCCACACAGAGAAAGCAAACTTTGAAGGCGTTATCAAGACATCCGCTTACCAATCCAGGACCCAATTTCGCAACACAAGCAGGAGATAGAACTTTAGCCGATCCCTATGACAGCAGATGCAATGAAACAAAACATAATTAAAAAAATTGTGAAAAGTAATGAATAAATATGGTCTGTAAATCAAAGAAGATTTGAAATCGAATATGGGAGTGAAAAAAGGGATTAGAAGGTACATACATGTGTCTTAACAACATCAGCATAGAAGCCTTCAATGTGACTTGTTCCTATAACAGTCTTCCTGTTTACGAACCATTAATGTCACAACGCTAACTTGAAAATGACCGGTAAACATGAAATATTAACATTCGAAATAAAAGCTTACGCGTTAATGAAAAAACCAGCATCAGAAAGGCATTTCACTTTAGTGGTTGGAGGTAAGAGCGATCTGAAATTATCGCACTGCAAAATGGAAGTCAACCCACCAGCTGAACAGCCAGCGAGCATGGCCTGTAATATTGAAATTGGAAATTAGTTACTAAAGGCACAACAGATATATAGATACATGAGGGGGGAGTTCATTTAGGAACAGTAAATATTTTGAGAACCAACTATTCATGATGAATATACCTAAACATTCATCACAATCATAATGATATTCATCATGAATAATTGGTTCTCATGGTTCTTAAGTTATATACAGTTCTCAAATCAACTTGCCCGTATGTGAGCAGGAATAAATGGCTAAAAAATGGAAGTACGGGTTTTTTACATTCTTAGCATTCTTCATCCCTTTTGCTAGCAAATCGTCAATAACCGCACGGAATATCCTTGCTCCTCTGAAGTGAAGATTGGTTTTCTGAAGATAGAATACAAAAGGATTCTATTCATTGCTAAAAGACCCAAAAGCACAAGATTTGTTCAAAAAATATATGCTAAAATTAGGACTTACAGGATCAACTGCTTCCACATCACCAGTAAAGGAAGAACCATCACAATACCGGACCTTGATCCTATTCCAATCATAGAAATCTAAAAACAAAGTAGAAAGTATGAGGAAAAGGAACTTGTAGCATTTTCCTTCTTTTCTTTTGGAAACTTTGGGTGTCCGGGACAACTTGCGCACACCTCAACTAATCCCATGGGCCCTAAGAATAACAACTAGGAAAATCCCGGGTGACTCCAAGGAGACTCGAACGTATTAAAAGTAGCCCCAAGGCTTGGCCTTTATTTGGCAGTTGAGCTGGCCCTCAAGGTTACTCATTGGATTTTGACATAGAATGGAAGCAAGAACATAGATACAATGTTTACAAAAGATATGACAGAAAAGATACCATTACTCAATTCTTTCAAAGTTACAAAATTTGCCTATTAAGGAGATATCTACTTTTGGCAGGTGGCCAAAAATGACGAAAAATTCTGGAACGAGTATGGTTAAATGCTTATCTGCTTATTTTTAACTGAAATAATGAGAAAGAGAAGGCCTACCAGGGTTATATTTTGGCTTGTTGTGAAACATCCCGGAGAAAGTCTCTAGTTTCAGCATTTGCTTGGAGGAACCTAAACGAGTATCTCTACGGGCAAGGCAATTTGTGACGTTGTTGCACCATCCTCCTCCCTGATAATTAATCCGAAAAACGAAACCTTGTGAGAATTTTTCACTAACAAATTCTGTAACCTTTAAAATTCAATTATAAACAGAACAAACATCATTAACTATTTGAATTCTTATAGATCCAAACTTATTAACCATAAAATTCAGCATCTCTTAGTCATATCATTTATTGGAATAGATAAAAACATCATCAGATTACTCTCCAAAAGAGTCTTGAGGAGCGAAAAAGGAGGTTCCAACATATAAAGAAGAAAAACAGTCCAAGTCTAGCGGAACCTAGAGTGGTAGATTTTGGCTCTAATAACATGTTAGAATACGTGACCCATGCTAAGTAATCATAATTAGCAACAAGGAACCAACCTCGAAGAAAACCAACCAATTGTCGATTCCTGCCCCGAATCCCTTATCTATATGATATGCAGGTGCACTGCCATCCAAACAGACTGAAAAAGATAACGAATTTCAGGCCAAGAACATGTCAAAAACTGGAAAAATGATCATACATTAAGTTAAAATATTTCATAAAGCAAGAAGAAAGCTAGTTTACCAGCTCCTTTAGCAACAGCACTATCAAGAAAAGTGAGACCAACATCATAACCTTCAGTGGTCAGCAGGCTTAATAACCCCACCAAGATTATGCATAGCCATGGACCTACTCCTTTACTCACCATACCCTCAATTGCCTAAAGATTTCTGAACAAAATAATCCAAAATTGAATACAAACTTCAAATTAATAATACCATACAACTTGAAATATAGACCATGATCTAAGATGGTTTTGGCAACCAAGCAAGTTTCTTTCAATAATTGACATATAACCACTTGATTTAATTAGTAGTAACATTGACTTCTAAAGTCAAAGAAGCCATTTTTTAAAATCCCAAAACCAATATGCTTTAGTTGTTTTCATGAAGAACAAACAACAACTGTATTGAGTTCAGATTCAAAAGTTAACATATTTGACCACATGAGTCAAAAACATCCACATGAACCATACTTCAACTTATTTATTTATCAAAAGAATCAGCTTCATTTCCCCAAATCAGTACATGATTGAAGATCAAACAGCATTTCGTATTCCGAATTCAAATCAACAAACAACCGATTTGAGGTAGCTGATATGAACAATATACATCAATTTTACAATTGATAACTTGATTTCACTACGGAAACAACAAATTTACAGAAAAGTCATCCATCCATACCTGAATGACCAACAGCTGTGGAGCGTAAATGCAAATTTAGATCGGAAAAATGGATTGGTTTGAGTGAGGAGGTTTGCAGTGAGAGACGATTCGCTTTATAGTGAGGAAGAGATGTATAAAAGGAAGGTTCGTTTTCACGCGTCAATCAATGGCACCGACGCAGACAAGGATTCGAGGACCATGCATTGGTAATAGTAAAGTCCAAAAACAAACACAGCTGGACGCCATCTTCATTACCACTGCCGAACGGTCGGATACATGGTCCAAATGGCAAAGTCGAAACTTTCGCTTCATAACAAATTAAGCGGTCAATCGGGTTTTTTGATCGATTGCTGAATGATTTACGAGTAATTGAGGCTTTTATAATATAGTGCAAAATGAAATATAATTATTTGATAATTATTTACAATGAAATTAGGACTCAAATGGTTAGGGGGCGTATTATACAAAATTATTCAGATGATTTTAGAATTATTAAGAGTCAGACTTTTTTTTTTGTCAAACAACATTTACTTCTTAACGGTTCAGATATTATCTTTTAATGAAACTATTAAAAAGTAAATAAACAAGATAACTTTAAGTAAAATTGGTAAATATATATATTGATTTGGTTTTTATATAAAAGGAATGCAGCTAAAATTACTCAAACTAAAAAAGTAATGATTTGTTACCATATATTTGACAAACCAGCTAGTTGATGATAATATTGATATATTCTTTTAAATTTTTATGATATCTTTAAATTTTTTCTATTTTATTCGAAAATAAAAGCATTATCGTTTTCTTAAAACTAAATAAAATCGTATTATAAACATCTATAGAGTCAATGAATAAAAAAACATTAAAATTGAGATATATCTCGTTGTATTGTACGAATACTTTTCTAGTAATTAATAATAAGTCTAAATAATTAAAGAGTAAACTACGATTTTTGTCCTGTGGCATTTGAAAAAGATGCAATTTTTGTCGTTGTGGTTTTGAAAATGCGATTTGACATTCCTATAGTTTGTAATTTATTATTGATTTTATTTCTAAAATTATATATGTTAAAATGCTTTCATTAACTTAAGGGTATTTTAGTCTTTTTTATTTACTTTTATTTTTTGGTTTATTAAATACATTTTTTTGGTTTTCTTGTCTTCTTGATTTAATAAAACCGTGTACTTTTTGATAAAAAAAATTAATAGATAAAATATTATATTGTTTTATTATTGTTTATGATAATAATTAAAATATTTTGAATACAACTAGTTCTTTTATATTTTTGGTCATTATAATTGTAGGGGTTGTTTATTAAATACTTATTTGGTAAACGCTTACTCGGTAAAATATAACATTATCATTTACTTACCGGGCAAGATTTTACTCCACCAAAACGACATCGTATGCAACAATTTACCCGGTGAGCTCTTACCGTGATAAGAGTCGTCGTCCTCATTTACCGGGTAAGATTCTTGGTCCTTCTCTTGCCCTTATCGGGTAAGATTCTTGATCCTTATTATATTCATCCGGTAAGGTAATATGACTTAACAAACACTTACCCATGTAAGACTTTGGTAAACGGCCTCCTAGTTTTTTATGAGTTCGATTTCTACTACTAACATCGTTCAAGTGTAAGTCGTTGAGTATCCCTCACATAAAGAGTATGTTAATTTTTTGTTCTTCATTAGAGACCAAAGAATTAATTTTTTTGTAGGACCAAACAATTAACTATTTTTAAGATATCATTACCAAACAAATGTGTTGGTCCCTAGAGGGCCAACAAGACTTACACAATTTGTAAGATGGGGGGTTGAATAAAAACACAGCTATTTTACCTTTTTAAGTTCTGTTTATGGATTATAAGAAGAAACTAATACATATGAATTTACAGATTGTTGCAGAAGAAAAAAAAAAAGAATAATCTCAGTCTAAACAATCTTACTTTGATCTTAGAGCATTAGGGTTCTCTAAAGAACAAAATAGAAATCACAGGGGTTTCTTGCATGGATTTATTGGAATACACAGAGAAAGAAGATAGCAAAGGTAAGAAGAGCATATTTGATAAGAAGGGTCTTGTCAGCTATTTATATCCTACGCGTTTAATGCACCTTAGCAGGTAGAATCCACGTGTCATGAGGAGAGTGTTTGCATGTACTTCTTGTCCTATAACAAAGCAGAGCTTGGCCGCATATGAACAGTGCTTCAGGAGAGTTGGTGAACATGAAGGAGACGATAAACCAGATTGTACTCTACCTTCTGTCAAAGAGAAGCATGAGGATTTGACTTACGTAAGAGAGGATAAGACAAATAACTTGCTATGCAATACATTGATCCAACATTGAGGTAGTCGTTGAGGACTGCTCCATATATTGTTGATAACTTGAGCCAAGTTTCACGTATATTCATATAGCTTTAGTGTCATAGAATGTCGCTTCAGATCATGTCTAATCCATCTTTGTCTCCAGCTACTTCTTCGACATCACTGAAGATTCTTTGATGTGAGTCTTTGTCTTTGAGAGGACTTAATTTATAGGTAGTTAATTACACAAATACACAATGGTCACCGAGCAGATTCAATCGTTGATTATTTACTCAAATAAATTTAACAGAAGAACATGGAGTTGCTTCAGCTTCATTTCCTGAACTGCATGTACCTCATAAATTTCTACTTGTTGCACCTCATTAATATCCAGACGTAGATTACATATTATTATAAATGATGTCATTGTTGGTTGCATTACGATACATAAATGATCTTTGTGTCAACACTGTTAATTAATGTATCGTTAATTGAGGAGTATTTTCTTCCATTTACCTATTTTATTTAATTTTCCGTTAAATAAATTAAAAATACCTTTATATAATCTCTTTTTATATGTTATATAAAAATCTTAAAATATATATTATCACCCCAACCCCTGAACCAATCACACACATGCCGATGACCATATCCTCTTCGGCAGCCACCTTATCTATTGAAACCAACCAAAATAACCAAAAAGTCTCTCGAAATCAACAAAAAAAAAACTTTAAAAAGTTCTTTAAAACAGTAGGATTCAACTAAAATGCGTCAAATGATTTTACAGATATTTAATTCACTTTGAAAATACAACTGTTTAACAAAAATCCCAGATCCACTTTTGACCTAAACATGAATATTTTCAACAAATTAAGAAAATAAACCAACGTATCGTTGACAAACATGACCTTATCAAATACAAAATTCATAACTCAAACGATGTTATAAAATATTTACCGTCTTATCCATCTCTCTCTTGCTGCAATATTTTAATTTAATTATTAAATATTAAAAAGAAAGAATTAGTCAACATTTTGATTATAATATTAAGAAAGAATTGGTCAACATTCGCCAATTGTATGCTTTGATACAACGAGATCCAATCCAACAACCAACAAATTTAATGTTATTTAAATAAAATTAGGAGGGTATTTATACAATACAGTGAGATAAATCTTGATTTTATTGTTCAGTTTTTATTCTTTGTTTCTATCGATATAATACGATTTTATGTGGTTTTGAAAAAACAGTAATGTTTTTATTTTTGGATTAAAATATAAATTTGAAAAAAATAAATCAATAATAGTATCAAATTAACTATTTAATAGTTCTCATTTTTTGGTGTAATTTTTTTAATTTAATTTTTTATTATATTTTAATTTATATTTAATAACAAAGTAATTTATTTT